GCGGAATAATTTTAATTCCGGATAAAGATATTTTAATTTCTCAAAGACCGTTAATAACGACAAGCCACTTTATTTTGTAACAACATAAAACGATGTTCTAAGACTAATACTGAAGAACTTAAATTTTTAGCTGTCGACTTGTTACATAATAATAATTCAACGAATTTTAATTATGTCAAGACATAGCAAAATTCTATGAATTAAAATTATGTCATGATATAATATGATAATTTTTAATTTTTATAACGTCTCGTACATAATAATAATTTAGTTAATTAAAATTGCGTCTAAACTGACATAAAAATAATTTCTATTATGTGTTGACATAACTTTAATTTTTAATTAATTCAATTACTATGTTACAACATAATTTTAACGCAGCAGTTAAGGATTTGAGTTTTTTAATATTAGTTTAAGAATATTGTTTTATCCTATTAAAAACCAAAATAGCTTGCATTTTATTATTGGGGATTGTAACAATATTATAAAATTCAAATTCCTTTATCCGGAATTAAAATTATGTTGAGATATACTTTTAATTCATTAACAAGAATCGTAATTACTTTTAGACAATTGTTTTTTAAGAATTTTACGTTAGAAAAAATATCTTTTATGTCAGTAAAAATAAACTTATAATAAGTCGGCAGCTAGAAATTCAAGTTCTTTAGTATTAGTCTTAGACTATTGTTTTATGTTATTACAAAATAGTTACTTATGCATGTCGTTGTTAGCGGTCTTTAAGAAATTAAAATATCTTTATCCGGAATTAAAATTATTCCGCAACATAACAATAATTACAAATGTCTATTATGATGTAATTTTATAATTTGTATAATTATTATGTATTTAAAATGTATAATTATATTGTCGCGATATAATATTTATTCATTGATAAAGATCGTAATTTTTTGCTTTACTACGACATACGAAGACATTGCGCGATAGTGGCGAAGTCAGCAACGTAGCGGCGCCGCGGAGAGCTCACGCACACTACACACACGCAGCTCACGGACGTGCGTCTGTTTAAAGCACGGCGTCGATTGGATTATCTTTACTCGATAATAACTGCTTCAGTAAGCATTGTAGAAAAAAATTTCCTAATACTTATCGACTCAATTTTTTATCAGAAATAGCAGTATATGTTAGTGAGCGGTATTTAAAAAACACTCTGTATATAAAAACATTGATCCATAAAGAAATATCTAAATAAATACAAAGATAGCATAAGAATCTGTATAATATATCTTATATTATGTTATTTTGTTTCTTAAATTTTTTAATTATAACATATTTTCTTAATTATCAGATATTTACGTTCCGTATTTGTTTATTAATTTTCTGCCATTTGGCTCCTCTGAGCTTGTTTTTATACTAATTATACCACATTTCCACTAAATTTGCAATCGAGTTTCAGCTACACAGAAACTCGCACTCTTCGCGCTTATTAATTCTCTTGGGTTATAGTCTCTACTTGCTACCGCATTATCTTTTATTCGTTTTAGTCATTTATCGTCCTATCGCTCATGTCATTCTTTGTTATACAATGCTTTCTTTTAAGATAGAACCTCAAGAAGTGTTTTAAAAACATTGCTAGTTATTAATTAATGTACACGTGTAAATGAATGAATCCTTTCTTCTAAAGAACTCTTCTTATTTCGGAAAATCCCATGAAGCATTTCCCTGATTAAATATATCTTCTTGAATCTTATTTTGCAACATTTGTTTTGATATAAACTATATATATATATATATTGCAACTGTATAAGATAATTCTTAACTGGAATTCTCAAGAGTCATTACTAAGTTCTCCACAAAAAGGAATGTAAATTTTTTAGATAGATACAATTATTTAATTTTATTAAATATATAAATATTATATAATTATTTAATTTCATTTTACTTTATAATATTTGTTTTTTCACAATGTTTGATCGATATCCGGCGATTTATTCGACGTTTTGATTGTAATTTGTTGATGAAGATGATCTACTTTTCGTTCTAGTTAAAAACCATTTTATTTGCATTAAATTTGTATGGCTTCGATATCCGAAAGTGATGTAGCGTAAGAATCTTGATGCTAACCGGACCGTATTTTGACACGATATCGTCCACATCTCTAGAGATGCAAAGCCGAAACATCAGAAGACATCAACATCTTAGATATCAGAAACGTTTCGATATAACGCGACATATATCTGCGTAGTACGAGTCTTATCGGGAAAATGCGGTAAAGATGATTTGTTGTTATTGGTATGGCTATACATAACTTACAATATTCAGATAAAAATGACATTACTCGATCCATTCTTTCTATTTCTATATTATGTATGTAATATTGTATATACATATATGCAACGATCATATATAAAAATACGATATATGTTAATGTCTCGACCAATACTATCACAAATCTATTACTTTTCTATTGTTTATATTATCAACAGGAATAATCAAATAAAGAAACAAATTAATAAAAGTTTGTTTGTGATTAAATTCACAAACATCAATTAACATCCAGCATCTGGTTTCGAAAAGAAATTAATGTGAACAAAGCTATAATAGAATAGATTACATCTTTTTGCTTAACGAGGAAATCTCTCTCTCTCTCTCTCTGGTTTTTTTGTTAAATTTTTATTAAATTTTATTATTTGAAGTTACTAAAATGAATCTCTCGATATTTTTTATTACGCAAGCGTACAGAAATACATTCTACATTGTTATTATATTATATAAGTTAATTAACAGTGTCGTTATATTAGAGAGCAGAGTGACACGGCTGTACTACACAACATGCTGCATTTTTATGTATTATTAAAAAAAATTAATTTCCTAACAAACATTAAATTATGCTACGCGACAAGTACTTGTTATAAATTGCGCGTAAAGTTGTATTTAATTTATATAATATATAACTTATGTAATATAAATGGGTAATAGAGCTACGAGCCAAGGTCAATATACATGGTACAAATTAAAAAATAAAAATAAAAATAAAATAAACATACTATACACAGTAATATACATAATAATAAACAGTAATACACATAAGTCTTGAGTCAGTTCAAAAACTGACTCAAAACTTACGTGTATTACTCGTGAGATGGAAGTGCAATCGATTTATTGACGAACCTACATATTACTCACAACGGATGATATTATACCTAGGGCTTATGGCTTGACTAAAATACACAAAGACGGTAACCCATTACGAGTGATTGTATCTTCTATCAACAGTCCATTATATTGCCTTTCTCTTTTTTTGCATAACATTATTAATGACAGTATTCCATAAGCTCCGAGCCATATAAAAGACGGTTTCCATTTAGTTAACAAATTAAATGGTACGCGTTTTGATTCTCAATATGTTTTAGCTTCGTTAGATGTAGTATCTCTTTTCACTAATATTCCTGTTGATCTAGCAGCATCGATAAGAGATGGGATTAATCGATTCAACTTGTTTCTCATCTTTTTCCAATTCTAGAATTGGAAAGAGACAATGAATAAGTTGAACCTTGGTTAAGAGTTAACCGTGAGTTGTGAAACTGGGCCTAAGAGGGGAAAGGATAGGCTAGATTTACTATCCAATCAGAATGTAGTATACAAGATTTCTTGTGACGACTGTGAGGCTAGCTATGTTGGTCAAACTAAAAGGAAACTGAGTACGAGATTACATGAACACATCTCTGATATACGAAAAAATACTGGTTCTCCTACGGTTATAACCGACCGTCGTATCAATTTTGACCACAATTTCAAATGAAATCAAGTAAAGATTTTGGATAGCGAATCCTCTTATAACAAAAGATTGATATCAGAGATAATTCACATTAAAAGACAAAAACAAGGTCTTAAAATTATATTACTGACTTTATCATAGTGCTTATATATATTACCGATTGCCATTTATGTATGACTGTTGTAATTTTCATCTTATATTTTATATCACCGATTGTATCTTGTATGACTGTCTCTCGTTTTATATTACCGACTTATTTGTATGACCTATGTTTAACAGAAATCATACATTACACATAATTGGATATTCACATTGCTGATTCCACATCGTATCAATTATGTTGGCGGAGGTACTGCGAGATGAGAGGGAAGTTACTGAATTCTAATTTTTAATTTTATATATTTCAATTTTAACATTGAGAATGATCCGATGCGGATCGAAACGTTTGTTATCGCCGGCATTTAGATTAAAGTTATTGTATATTTATTTTATTTTTATTTTTACTTTTAATTTGTATCATGTATATTAACCTTGGCTCGTAGCTCTATTACCCATTTATATTAAATTTGAGCCTTATTACCATTATACATCTTATATAACTTATGTTTATTAATTTCGCGTAATGTATATCACGGCAATTTCCCGTTACGGCTAGATAAGCAAATACCTACGAAATTCGAGATTGCCAACGAAATGGTACATTCCGGAGTTTAGCACGTGCGAAATGAAGAAATATATGGTCACAAATCAGACCGTTACCTCAGAAGATGGCGTAGAGAACGAGGAAGGGATCGGAGGGAAAGGAGCAATGCGTAAAGATTATCGCCAGGAACTCCGATAACGTCGCAGTCGCCGACTAGTAGAGGAAATGGCGGAAGAAGTACCGGCTGCCGGAAGCGCAACCACGAGTTTCAAACGATAATAATTTCCTGCCAAGCATCGCGAATACCATTTCGAGATTTCCTATAAATTCCTCGATTTCTGGCAAAGAAACGCTGTTGAGGTTTGAGGTTATTGAACGGCTCTTTAACACTCAACGTTATAAGTGATGTGGCAATCTTCAATGTTTATATTCAAGTTAACATTTATTGTGGGGCACAATACAAAAAAAAAATACTATCAATATAAAATATATTATCAAGTTATATATATATATATATCAATTTTATATTCATGTAGCATTAATTATAGGAGGATAATAAATCTATGTGTTTAAAGATAAATATAAAACTATTTAAAAAGTAGTTAATATTGTAAAAGTTACCTGAATTTGACAGACAACTTCACCGTACGGCCAACATCCGTAAACAGCTGGTAAGAAACCGAAAGGCGTCACTAAAAGACCAATCGCTAGGTCGTTACTTGCTAAGCTCGTCAGCAAATATCTGGGCTGGAAGAAAATTGAGGAGAACCTGTTGATCTCGTCTTGGTCAGTATCAATGGATGTCATTACCGAATGGTTGAATTGTTGTGTAACGTGCGCGACATTAGCTCCGTCATGAGACGTGTAGCGAAAGAAAATATCGATTGACTTAAAAGAAACTTCTTTTCGCTAATTGTAATCTATTTCTATGAGCATCAGTTTAGATTAGTTGATTCAACTGACTGTTTAGATTAACTTTGAATTAAATTTATTTATTAAATTAATGTTTATAGAAACCTACGTATGCAATACTAAAAAAGGGTTTAATTTTCTAAACAAAGTAAAAAATGTAATGTGTTTTCAATTATTGTAGTTTTTTAATTTAATTTCATCTTTCAATTTTGCATTATTACTTTCTACTGTCGCTAATAATTGTATGGAAAATCGAAGTTACTTTCGTATACATATTTAGTAGGCTGTGTAACTTTTACATATACATAAATTAAATCTGAAAGTGCGAAGTCACTAGGTAGAAAAAGAAAAACTGAGAAGGAGTCAGAAAGAGCAGCACAGAAAAGTTAAACTTTATTAGAGTGATAATATCTACAGTAGGAGATTATATAAATCCCGATAACAAATCGAGATAAACGATTGTTAGAATAATGGTTTCTCGAAAAGGATTTAAACCAATGTAAGTTTCACAGCATCGGAATAAGGATATATAATATTTTACGTACCCATTACAGTTATAGAAGTTATCTAGTATGTATACGTAGGTATCTTTTCTCCAGAAAAATTTACATATTTATGCAATAAAAATCGATTAATATTAAGGAACGCTTTATTACATGTACATATATTGCGTTTTAGTAAATAAGATATTCTCAGTAGATTATGAATTATGATGTCAAAAAAATTTAATTAATCGAAAAATAAGAAATAAAACATTTACAAATGTACAATTTTTTGCGGGCATCATCAGTCTCTACGAAACTCGACGGTACTCATTTAGAACCCAGAAACATGACTGTCCTGTATTTCGTGGAGCTAACCACTTCAGACTGATTTACATAGGAAGAAGAGAGAAATGGAGAAAATACCGCGAACCCTTCCATCATGGACTGTGAGTTATGGCACCGACTGAAACCTTCGTACGTTCACGTAACTAATATTTTACCGTAATTCTTTTATAAGATAAAAACAAATAAATAATATTAATTTCATTACATTGTATAAATATTTTAACTTTCTTTTGTTAGCTAATGTCTTTAGATGTTTATATATAAAGAATGTTTCTCATTGAGTATCAATCCTATTTCCGTCTTTCAAATTACAAGCGAAATTTTCAGGAAAATATGTATTGTTTTTTCCAACATTCTGAGAGTTGAAATTTTTACAGATTTCGTAATTATTATTATTTTACAATAAAAACAAAAGGATTGACTTCTAAAATTCATATTTAACAAGATAGAAATTTTGTTAATAGAGCAACAAACTTATTAGTTCATTTTTAAAAAGTTGCGTAAATAAAATTACATATCTTAAATGTACCAATTCTTACCTGAGCATGTATATATTTGCTGTACTGTCTGCTATTGATAACGCATATCACCAGTAGATTGGCGCATAGGATACCAAGACTGAGTAGCAATATCAGAGCAGCTCGTATCAGTTCTCCAGGGCCCGGACCTGACCAAGCGGCATCGGATGTGCCGCTTCGCCAGCAACTGCTGTTGCTGAGTGAGGGTGCCAGCAGTATCGTCTGTTTGTGTTCCATCATCATCGTTTGGTCGCTTATTTCCCCAGGCGATTACAGTGTCGAATCCCCAGACGAGACACCCATGTCCCGCTCGAGGCACACGTATTTCGTACGTTACTGAAAATAATCTTTTTTTAAATGAAATCTTATTATACTCTGTCTTTATAATTTATGTATGATAAATTTCGAAAGGAATCTTACATAATAATGAATCTTATAATTTTGTTTAATTATAGATATAAAATCTTTAATGTGCAATTTCAGTATATTAAATCTGAGGATTAAATTCTTCTTCACGTATTTCGCTCAAAAATAATTTTTTAAATAAAATTTGATTATATTTTGACATATAATTTACAGTACAGTAAATTTTCAAAGAAATTTTATAATTTTATAATTTTATATTTGTTTAATTATACAAGCATTTAATTATGAATTCTTAATGCAATTTTGTTATATATCAATTTGATTATTTTATAATTAAAGTAATATAACAAAATTGCATTAAGAAGTAAATTGCCAATAACAAGATGCAATACTATTCGGTATAGTATATAATAAAAGATATCATAATATATATATAAGATTCTAGGTTAATAATGTCTCTATATTGAATAATGTTTCTTAAAAATACTGTCTGTTCTTTTAGTATAATAAAAAGAAATTACGTAAGCTGTTATTTTAAGTGCGACTATTTTTTCTGTCAATAAAATTTAGATAAGCCTTAAAAAGAGAAAACAGAGGTAAAGCGACGTTGATAATTAAATATCGTAACGTACTTTTCATCCCTGTCGATCGCGAATTTTCGAGAGTCCGCCTTGATGATGGCCGACCAGCTTTTTTAAGCACTGCTTCTTCATCATCGACGTCGTTGAGAATACACACAGTTGCGAACGTTTGAGCGCGTCTAATGACGCACTCGAAAGTCCGCTCACGATTCACGAGTCGTCTGTACGCATTTGCAAAATGATGTGTAACTTCAACGTGTAATAGATTTTTGATACGCGGTGCATCTCAGCTTGGGTCCACAGCATCTACGGCACGCGAGTAAGAAGACAAGCTCTGTAAGAAAAGAAAATAAAGCGGATAAAAATAACACATAAAATCAGTTTTTTCTGAATTCATTCATTTGCACGCGCAAATTACAAAGTATTTGTCTTACTGCCTGTTTACCGATTAACATTTGTGATAAGATAAGAAAAAACTTAATAATTATTTATAGTTGATAATTATGTATAGTTATGTACAATACACATATATTGTCTAGAATATTCTTTGGAAATAAATCCTTAGAATATGGAAGAAATTTGCGAAAATAGTACAAAAAAATATTTTGTAAATCAATACAACGAAGCCTAGACTTTAAGATAAAGAATATAATATAATACGTATACTATAAAAAGAATTACATATAAAATTACTATTCTAGTGGATAATTTTAGAATTTGCTATTAAATGTATATATAGTATACATTTATACACACGTAAAGTCACAAGTTACAAATAAATAGAAACTATAAAATTTGTTATTGTACTTTTTCTAATATAAAGGTATATCTATTTAAAATTTAAGATAAAAGTACTATAATTCTTGTAAAAACACACAATTTTATATATTTTTGTTATAAACTGTATAATTTTTACATAGATTTTTTTTATTTATATAATTTTACATACATTTTTGTACATAAAAATGCATACTAAATGCTAGAACATCATATAAAATATAGAAATAGACTATGAATTTTTTGTTACTCCACATCTATACGTTAAACTATACGTATAATTAATCTTGAAATTCGACTATGACTTCCTCTTCGAATACTCATCGACATTCCCATTTTACACCGTTACGTGAGAGCTCTCTACGGAATCAGAGACTACGTTTGAAACTCGTACGTTTCGAGTTTGCGACGTTTTATTTGCTCTTGCCCGCAATATTTCCAACAATCAAGCGTACGGGCGCATCCCGTTTCCGAGAATTTTATTTGTACCACGTAAACGAACGAAGCCGTTGGTCCGCGAATTCGACGTTGATCGATCGCGCGCGTCAATTCCGATCGCATTGACGGTGAATTGTTGATGCGTTACACTATGTCGGTGCCGAATAGATCTTCCGTGAATTCATACGGATCATGCTCTTCCGTAATAAGCTCGGTCCTGCCCGATCCTTTGTACTGTGAATAATTAATTGTAAATCTCTTACATGCTAGTTGAAGGAAGACCGTTTTTGATATACACTGACTTGCGTCGATCGTAATTAGAATTTAAAAGAATCTGTTCGTTCATCGAAATAACAGAAATGGAAAAATTAATTGGTTATCTGTGCAGATATCGGACGTTTCCTTTCACCGCAAATTTCGTTTAGAACCAAATCCAGTACCAGTTAACATCAGCCGTCTAATTTTCAGGTGATAATTAATGTATTGATTCCACGCGTGAATGCGTGAGCAAACATTGAAAATTAATCTGCTATTAATCCGCTTACTAATTGTAAGATAAGCTAAAAGCTTAGGCAGATATTATTCTGTATGTTTAATAGATGTGACTGAATAAATTAAAATTATTTGCTTGTTATTCATTCGCTTTTTATTTAATTGTATAGAAGTTAATTATATAGAAGTTTTATCATAATATTTCACTCAAAGATTTAAGTATACATACTTGTTAACTACACATACTTGTTTATAAGACATTGTATTGTATTAGAGATGTTTATCGTTATTTGATATCGAATATTCAATATTTTTTGCAATTTAATATAAAAATATCGAATAAAAAATTATGAATAAGATATTGACTAGATTTTGAACTATTCGTATTCATTCTATATTTTCATGAATATTTTTAAGTTTCAAAACTTTCTTCTTTAAAGATCTATCTCATAATATCACAATAGTCAAAACATAGTTGTACAGATAAAAAATCAACCAATCGAATCATATAAAAACCGCCATATTGTTGAGATTGCATGATATTTGATTAATCAGAACGATAGGAAAGTAAATACTTATCCTGATTGATAATTTCATGCAATCTCAATCTTCAAGTTCCATTCCGTTCTAATTAGACAAGGCTGCTATATCTGTATAGTTTGGGTTTAGATAGATATAATATATAACTTTTAGTAAACCAATTCATTGAAATAAAAAATACGAATTTGAATGAATAGGCATAGGAAAATTGAAGAAAGAAACTAATTTGTAAAATTATTTATAAAAATAGTAACAATTCTTTTAAAATAACACACACATATTTTTAAAAGTATAATGTAATAAATGTGATTACCATTTAGAAATATTTTTTTTAAGTTAAGTTACTTATACATATGACTACAATTCATAATTCATCATATTTTAACAGTTGGTGTACCAAATACCTACATAGTCTCACCATTAAACGATATATGTCTACAGCTTAATTTATATATCTACTAAAAAAGAAGCTTTTCAAAACAAAAAATCCAAAAGGTATTTGAATTTACGAACATACACAGTTCGAGTACCGTATTGTTTACTACATCCTGAATTGGATCCGATCGACGCATTTTGGCATTCATTATCTGATTACGAGCTTTATTATAAATCAAATCGGCAATTAATGGCGTATTGATTATTGAAAAATTAGATAAACCGTTTAATTGTAAGATTAAATCACCCATTAATACTGCAAATCGTGCACAATCGTGGGCAAGGATTGAAAAACGAGAAGGTAGCTAACGAACGCCAGAGCACCTTCGGCGATATTAGATTTTGGTAGGGTAACTCCGGTATATGAGTCGCATGTAACAAAAATTTAATTTATTAAGGCGCATCTCACGGTTAACTCTTAACCGAGGTTCAACGTACTCCTTATCTTTTTCCAATTCTAGAATTGGTTGAACCCACAGACTTCTATAACTAAACTGCTGATATAATATAATAGTAAGAGATGAATCTGATTCCGAGCTGTCCTTGTTTTAATTCACATATGCGTATATATGCGTTCTGTCTGTGAGTATCACGTGAATTTATGTGAAAACACTAACGTTATTATACGTGTGAGAGTGAACACAAATATAACGCTGCCCAGCACTGTCTTCAAACATGGAGGCGAATTCGACAGTGTATTCATAGAAATCTGTGGTTGAACCTCAATTAAGAGTTAATTGTAAATTGTAAAACTGAGCCTAAGTATTATTTACTATGTTTAAGGCAAATGAATTATACAAGTAAAAACTTTGTACTGTCTACTACTATGAAAAAAGTATTAGAAATTCGAAATATATTTATTTTTTATATTAAAAAAAGGATTTGAAACCCTTGTGTTTTTGCTGTATATTCTGTATAGGAATGGGATATACACCTAGCTATTTATGGGGGACGGGGGGGGGGGGGAAATGATTTTATGATTGGGAAGTACGGTCCCAAAAATTTATAAATAATGCTTATAAATAAGACATAAAGTGATACAATAACTTATAAAATATGTTTACAAAGTTTTAAGGAACAGGAACGATAAATATATATGTATATGCAATAATAGATAATATAAATTATAATCTTTTACATATATTACAAGTGTTATGACATGACGTACATATTTCATGTAATGCATTTATTGTATTTACTGCATTGAATCCAATCTGTGCACTTTATATGCTTTGTACATAAATCCGGTCCGCTAAAAATGTCGTATATCCCAAACAGGTGTACAGAATATACAAGACACCAAACTGAACAAAGAATATAAGAGCTATAAGCACTTGTATTTTGCTACACTCTATTCTTTACTATCCCCTTACACTTATGTATCACCAAATATTATTAAACTCTTTGCAATCTCTACAATAATCATTTTATCGTATATGGATTATGATACCTATATGAATGCGCTATTCATTACATTGACATATCGATTTAACTGACAATAATTTTATCGATATTAACGGTAGGAAACTGAAACCACAACACAATATCAATATAACATATAGGCATATAACAGAATGGTTGCGTGCACATTACTTCAACTTCTTCTATTTTTTCTGATTTTTGCCGCGTAAATCATCGCGCGACGTAGATACCAGAGTTATTCTATAATTAAAAAGTGAACCCAAGGTACATTAATTGCCTGCTGGAAATTCTTTTCTTCATTTACATCTTTGCGACGACTTCTCTCGTTCTTTTCAGTAATGATTCGACGGACCGTCCCGATGTTAGAGTTCGCTCTATTCACGTATTCGAATCTATTATTTCCACTGTTGCTTTAGATTTCACTCCTGCTATTCGTTTTGCGTATATTAAAGCAAAGATGCAGCTGGCATATATGGCATATACGGCATATATCGCTAATAATCCTTTCCGTATAATATAATAGCTTATGCGACGCAAATTAAGTGCAGTATATTAATCTGTTCGTAAAAAATTTTATAGAATATTGTTCTTAATTTCATTTCACAGTGATAAATGAAATACATTGGCTGTGTTCAGCAGAGAAAACTGATCAGTGAGTGTGCTTAATGATTTTTTAATGTGATCGTTTCTACTTAGAACGAAGAACTAAAGGCAAGAGCCAATCATATAAAAGAATCACTTAGCGCTCACTAATCAGTTTTCTCTGCTGAACGTAGCCTTCGATATCTGCATTTACAATATATTTCGATTATTAGGAAAATTGTCTCTCGATTTTACGAGTGGTTATGCTCAATATCATAACTGTCTACATTCTGTCTTTTTCATATCTGTTAAATTATTGTTAGCACTCAAACTTTTTTTGCATTCAGTAGGCTACCATTCATTCAGAACAAATGGCAACTAACTTGTTTATCGAGAAAACTGAGCTCGCTTGGTTGTTGCACTCAAGCCTTCAATTTAATTTACTTGGTGTGCAATCAATAAATAATGTTGACTTGCCAGCTTTCTCGTTTTCACGCTTGGATAGAAAAGCGAATGGAATGGAAACGGTCACATACTATGTATGTACATATTCACATATATAGACCAATACACAACACACATGCTTTTGCATTCTCTATGAAC